TTGCCTGGAACTGCCCAGAGAACTGTAAACACAATGTAAGTTTTAAAACAAATTCTGAAGTTACAAGAGACATTATGACAATCACTTTCTCTACCAAAAACATGTGTTTTAAAAACCTGCAAATCAGGAACATTTAGAGTAGGCTTGATTTTGACTGTGGTGTTCAGTTCTGCAAGCCCAGACTGAGTGCAGTTAAGAATCAATCCTTTATTGTCATATCTAAGGTTTTTATATTGAGCTGTGCTTTGCATATCATAAAGATCGCCATTTTAACTGTACAAGTGAATGACATTTAGCAAATTTACAGAATTGTGCAACCATCAACACGATCCAATTTTAGAAGATTTCCATCACCCCAAAAAGATCCCCCACATGCATTATGTTTAGGGTTTTCTATTTAATTTTTCCACAGCTTTTCTGTGTGAAAACATAATGCCATAATTGAAATAGAATACCAAAAATGTTAATAAATTTGACAGCTGGCATTCAGACACAATTGAATAATTTGCCTGGAAAACAGCAAATTTTGTATGTACAACTTTTTAAAAAGGAGTCTAGCTAATTAAGCAGATATTAGTTTTCCTTAAATAATATTCATAAGATCATGAATAAGAGGAGATGAACTGAGACTAGCTCTGCTCTTGTTATAAGCAAATCTGATATTACTTAGGAGGCACATGGTGGCAACAACAGCTGTGAGTCATTATATCCCTCTCATTCCTTCACACTTCTGTTTTTCACCTTACTTTCTAAGTGGCGAATCAGTCATATTCAGGCTGAGGTCATCAAAATGGGTGGGGTAACACCAGGTTACATTCAAAGTGGGAGCCTAGTTCAAGCTCCAATTTTTCTTTTAATTGGTTACTGTTTTCTGGATTATATAGAAGCTCATATGAATGTTTTAAATGTGGTCTTGACTTCTTCTCTTTTTCCTTCTCAGGGACCATCATTTAGTACCCTTTTGCCAGAGTATACTTCCTTTCTCACATATTATAGTCATGCAAAGAGCCAAATATTAATAAATAATAATAATAAATAAATAATAAAAATAAAAAAGCATGTTAGGCCCACAAGCACCATGTATAAGGTAAATTTATAATACTTTCTCTTGGTAAAATATAAAGTTTGGTGGCACAGATGTCTGTTAGAAGGCAGCTCCATAAACATATAAGAATTTTGTCAGTTTTGTGCATTTAACATATCCCAAGACCCTAAAATCGTGCCTGGCACATAGTAGGTGTTCAATAATACTTGTTAAATAAATGAAGTTTTAAAAAATGCTTGTCCTAATGAACTATTAAGTTTGATCCACTTCATTGGTGTGTTATGAAAAGTGTGTTGATATGTTACATAAAATACATTTTAAAAATGTACTAGTGGAACTCAATATACAATTCTAAAGTAAATTTAAACTGTAAAATGAGTAAGTTATACTTCAGATTATGTTATTTTATGAAGCTGTATTTCTTTATATTTATCTTACAGAGCTTTACATCCTCATATTGCGCACAGTTTGGATAAGAAGTATATATCTATGTTCTAAAATAAATATAATGTCGCTGAAAATTGTACTGGCTTTCTCTTCTTTAGGTATAGCTTATAGTTAATATCCTCCTTAATGATTTAGCTAAGAAATTCCATCTTTGAAGGAAATGGTAAACAATGCAAAAAAAAAAAGCTAAAAGAAAAATAGCATATTGATCTCGGCCTCATGAAAATCAGCTTCAAGATCTCTATAAATAGGCAGCATACATTAAATTAACATATAAACGGTAGGTTTAGGATCTTTCTAATAATTCATATTTCTATTTCTCAGTTGACTTAAATTTGATCAAGTAAAACTCTGGCCATATTTTTATTAATTGGCTCTCCTTTTTTCCAGTAATGCATTTTTTTTCCACAATTTTAAGAAAACTGATATTCTCTCAGATTCATGTCTCATCATTACAGTAGATCCCTCCTTCTCCATGCCAGAAGTAGTCACCTTGATTAAACTTGTTTCCTGGGAGTTCCCAGACCTGGATTATGGTCATCACTGATTCAAACACTCCATTCTTACGAGGATTCTCTTCAGGGCTATTGCTCTCATTTCTTCCTTCCTCTTTGGAGACCACGAACCATCATCCAGCCCCTGTCTCTCCAGAAGCATCTCCTCTCCTGACTGCTCTCTTCATTTTATAAGCATACTTTTGTCTTTGCACCCTAAAAACAAGATCCCTTAATGGACCCAGCATTCTCTATTTTTCCTCTCAAAAGAGTTGCTCAACTCACTGTTTTGACTTCTTCTTCACCTCTAATCTACAACTCAACTTACTGTAAAAAAAAAAAAAAAGGTTCTGTCCCTATATAGTCAAATGATACTGTTCTAAAGTCACTTATAATCCCTTATAAGGGGTTATATTGCCAAATCCAATTAACACTTGTCCTTATCTTATGTGACCTCTTGGTAGCCCTGACTGCGTTGGACCTCTCCTGCCTTATTGGAGTTCTTTCATCCCATGTTTCCACCACACCTGCTTTACTGAAACACTTTCGCACCTTGCTTTACTGAAACACTCTCTCGTCTCTTCTCTCCTCCTCCTCCTCTTCTTCTTCTTCTTCCTCTTCTTCTTTTTCTTTCCTCTCTTTCTTTCTCCTCTCTTTCTCTCCCTCTTTCTTCCTTCCTTCCTTCTCTCTCTCTTTTTTTTCTTTCCTTCCAGAGTCTTGCTTTGTCACCCCACTGCAGCCCCAACTTCCCGTGCTCAAGTGATCCTCTGCCCTCAGCTCCCTGAGTAGCTTGAACTACAGGCATGAACCACCATGCCTGACTGATTTTTTACATTTTGTTTTATAGAGATGGGCTCTCATTATGTTGCCCAGGCTGGTCTTGAACTCCTGAGTTCAAGCGATCCTTCCATCTTGGTCTCCTGAAGTGCCAGGATTACAGGAGTGAGCCACTGAGACTGGCCTACTGATGCACTTTCTACCAGCTTCACCACTCCTTTTCAGTGAGATGGGTTTTTTGTTTGTTTGTTTGTTTTATTTTGCATATCTTCTCACCTTACAATCAAATGTTGATCTCTAGGCTACTGTCCTTGGTCCTGGACTCAACCTACACAATTTCCCTGGGAAAACAAATCAATTCCTATTGTTTTAATGGCCATTTTTTTGCTGATGACTCTCACATTTAAATCTTTAGCCTTCAATTCTCTACTAAACTCCAGACCTCACGTCTCCCGTTGTCCCCTGAATATCTTCTCCACCTACATGTTACTGAGCCTTCCAAAGTCTTAGATCTATTCTCAGTTCTTCTCCTTGGGATGACTGTATTTTACATGTAGGAAGGAAGATGAACTGAATATTTAGTAGCCAGAAGGGCAGATGATGGCACTCCTATATGTTGTTTATTTCTGTTTCTCCTCTTTCTGAACACATGGTAGAATTGCACTTCCTTGCTTTTTGAAACTGGTGTGTCATGTGACTTGTTTTAGCCAGTGAAATGTGTGTCCCTTCTAGGCAGAAACCTCTGAAACCTTGTACTCAAATAATTTTATTCTTTTCTCCTTGTACATTCCAGAGGGAAGAGGCTCCACCAGCTTACATCCTTAAGTGAAGATGATGTAGAGCCGACCTCACACCAACCAAAAATGGATATAGGGCATGAGTGAAAAATAAGCCTTTGCTATTTCAAGCCTGTGAGATTTTGGAGTTATTTGTTACCACCAAATAGCCCAGCACATCTGACTGATTTAAGATTCAAAACCAAACTCATTATTTTTTTCCTGCACATCATGAACAGAATAAAACAACACAAGAGAACCTCACCTGCTCTTTATCCTATGCTCCCTGTTTTCTGTGTCTGTGTTTGAGCCATCACCATTTACTCACTTAACCAGGCTAGAAACCTGGGAATATATCCAGACTCCACTTTCAAGTCCACCTACATTTTATGACTCAAGTAATTCTTCAGGTTCTATTTCCTAAGTATCCTTCAAATCCATTGCTTCATCTCCATTCTTAGTGCACATCTTACTATCTCTTGCCCAGACTATTACAGTGGCTGTTTAAATGGACTCCCTGTCTCTAGACTTTCCTAAATCCATTTTCCATATGGCTGCCAGAGTGATTTTTATAAAATGCCATTCCGCTTTCCTGCTTAAAATCTTTCATCAGTGCTTACAGAATAAAGTCAAAATGACTTAGCATAGCATTTTAGGCTCTTGATAGTCCAAACCCTTTCTATCTCTTCAGCATCTCTGCTCCAGAGATATCCAGTTCCTTTTCCTCCCACTCCTGAACAACCCAGACAATACCATTCTTTGATTAATCCTTCCAAAAATATCAACTTAGATTTGATTTACTCTAAGAAGGCTTTCCTGGTTATCCCAAACAGACTTAATTTCCTCCCACCTATCTGCCTAAAATGCGCTTTTACTATTGAATGTGTCACTTTAATTGTTTTTTTTTTTTTTTTTTTTTTTGCTTATGTGTTTATTGTAGTGGCCAGAGTTTGTAATAATTGTAGTCTTCTCAAGGTTAGGAGGAATACCTTACTGTCCTTATCTGGAAAGCACAGTAGTTAGCACATTACAGCCACCTCAAAAAGATTTTTTTTATTTTTTATTTTTATTTTAAGTTCTGTGGTACATGTGCAAGATGTGCAGGTTTGTTACATAGGTAAACATGTGCCATGGTGATTTGCTGCATCTATCAACCCATCACCTAAGTATTAAGCCCAGCATGCATTAGTTATTTTTGCTAATCCTCTCTCTCCTTCCATCCCAACCACTGACGGGCCCAGTGTGTGTTTTTCCCCTGCCTGTGTCCAGGTGTTCTCATTATTCAGCTCCCACTTACAAGTGAGAACATGCAGTAGTTTGGTTTTATGTTCCTGCGTTAGTTTGCTAAGGATAATGGCTTCCAGCTTCATCCATGTCCTTGAAAAGGACATGATTTTGATCCTTTTTATGGCTGCATAGTATTTCGTGTTGTGTATGTACCACATTTTGTTTATCCAGTCTATTACTGATGGGCATTTGGGTTGATTCCCTATCTTTGCTATCGCAAATAGTGCTGCAATGAACACATGCATACAAACATTATGCACGCATCTTCGTAAAATAATGATTGATATTCCTTTGGGTACATACCCAGCAATGGGATTGCTAGGTCAAATGGTATTTCTGGTTCCAGGTCTTCGAGGAATCACCACACCACCTTCCACAATGATTGAACTAATTTACATTATGGAATGGAAATAATAAGACATTTTATCAGAAAGGTTAACATCTGTTAAGGCCTTATATTTTTTACAGAGCTTAAAATCCGTTGAAGGCTTACTATATGTCAGGCACTGCAAAATGCATTCTATAAGCTTTATTTTATTTAGCCTAACAATAGCTGTACGGGATGGAGACATGCGTTAGGTGTCTATCCTTACCGATTTCCTTATCAGAAGCAACCCAAATCTCACCTTCCTGGCAGATAGATCATTATAGGCTCTTAGCTATTATTATAACTAAATTATTTTCCTATGCAGTAGCTGAATGAAGAGCAGAGACAACTATAGTTTACAATCAAGATTTTTGTCTAAACTTTTAAGAGAAAGTCCAGTTTCATTATTTAAAACATTTTGAAAAAAATCATAACATTTATATATCATCTTTCCCTCGATGCATAACACTTTTTACAAAGTTTAGTGGTAGATAAGTGAGGGGTAACTCAAATCAGAGAAACAGGGGTGCAGACATTTGATTAACTTGTCTCACATCATAACTTTTCAAGATTTCATTATAATTCCACAACATCTGCCCTCAAAAAAGAATTTTGTAATTACCATTGAGTGACAAAATACCAAGTAGTGATAGAGGTGTATAGACGAACTCAAAAGTCATTGTCAAAGGATACTGATAAAATATTGGGAAAAATCACAAAAGACACGAGAAGATAATTTAGAGTTATATGCGCAAATCACATGACTCCAGTCTCTGGCTCTCTTAGCCAGAACACTGAATCTTTTACAATTTACCTCTTGTTGCCAATAATTTTCTATTATCGTCAGATAATAATAGGCTGGCGTATGAACCTAGTTTATCAACACATTTTTTTAAAAACTGACATTCCTTTCTTAAGGAGTCCATCCATTCACCCAATTAAAAAAAAATTGTTCCAGGAAGAGGAATTAAGTTCATTCCTTTGAATTCTAGTCTGCATCCCAGCTTTTAGAACAGGGGATGCAGAACCAGTTGATTTGCCACAGGTCAAGCAAGTCCTGAGTTTCCAGCGAATCAAGCAATTAACCAGTTACTTGGCCTTTTTGCAGAAATACACAAAACGTGTAGACTCGCTTAATTCCGTCTCCTCTTCACACGGAAATTGGCTGCTCGGGCGAATGTTGTTTTTCACCGCAGCCATGTGTCGAAGGGCGATTAACATTCGCTCGACAAAACCCCATCCCGGGCCATCTGGAAGTTGCACGCGTTCACACCCGGGGCTCAGCCTGGTGCGCCTTCACGCGCAGCCTTTTTGTTTATGCGATTAGCAGGGGAGAGGGGCGGAGAGGGAGCGAACCTCTCAATGTGCAGCAGGCCGCGAGAGCTATATAAAGCTCGGGTCTCGGACCTACTGGAACTGGCCAAGATTGCCCGCGAGCTGGCAGCGGCCTTCCGCCAGTCTCCGCGGCGCCATGGAGACCGAAAGAGGCGCAGAGGGCACAGAGTGTGGAGCCGCGGCGTCCACGGCCACCGACCGCACTACGCGGCGCGCGGCCGCAGACTCCGGGTAGGCTTCTCCGCGCTGCTCTGTGCCTCCCAGCTTCCCCTGTCCCTCCCGCCTGCGCCTCCCCAGCTCCTCCCCTCCACTCTCCATCCCCCACCCCCCGGTGCCAGCGCTTGGCTTCGGTGGATTCTCCCGGGTCTGGGCTCACGTCTCCTCTGCGCGCCTTGTGCTATCCATCCCGCAGATACGCGAGCTTCTGGAGACCCTGGGTGGACGCCGGAGGCAAGAAAGAAGAGGAGACACCGAACCACGCCGCGGAGGCGGTGAGTGAGCCACGCGTCTCAGGCCGCGCCTCCCACGGGTGCAGAAGATTGACCAGGGCTCTTGGGACGCAGTGCCGGAGAGAGACATGCGAGACACCGGTCCTGCCTCTCGCTTAACATCCTGCCTGCCAGTGGCCATAACGGTGCCGACGCGGCGGATGTGTCCTCTGGAGCGATGGGCCACAGGCACCCAGCCGGGAGCGAGGCTGCTGAGAGCCCTGGGGTTACATTCCCAGCTGGCAGGAGGAACACTGGGTCGTGCACATTTCCACTTTCTAGAAGGAGGTGGGTGATAACTGGATTCACTTCCTTTCCTCTTCAGATACCCGATGGCCCTGGAATGACCGCAGCTTCAGGAAAGCTTTCGCAATTCAGGCACCCAGTCAGGTGAGTGACAGGCCTCCCCAAAGGTCTCCCGCTCCTCCAGCCCCAGGGAGGAGCCAGGGGCATCGCACAGCCCAGCTCCGCAGCTGGTCCTGCAGCCTCTCTCTCTCTGAAAATCTGGCTTCAAGGTTACTTATCTTCTCACTCGCAGAGATCCGTTACTCATCAAATTGAAAAAGGTAAGGGCTCACGGTTTCACGTAAGGGACCATTGATCAATACATACTCAATGAACTTGATGAATATATTACGAAGAGGGAAAGGGGATGCTATGGTAAAAGAGCGGTGACATCTTGTGCTGGCAAAACAGTTTTTGTTTTTAAATCCTAAAGGGTTCGAATGAAACTGACTTGGCATCAGGCAGTGTGTATGCTGCTTTTGTCTTGCAATCTGGAAGGAAGAATGGGATTAGCAGTTACAGTCTTACAGCAAATCAAGTTTGCCGTGTAGGAGAAAATAGAAATGTAATGAAAATCCTAAAGATTACTGAGGGTGGTTATAGAAAGGGTCAAAAGTTGTTTAACATGAGGAGCTAGTTTACTGTTCCTAGCCACTTCAGGAAGTCAGCCTTTATCTAAGATTCTTTGTCACTTTTATCAGGTGAAATGTTAATAATTCTGCAGTTTTCCTGCCTCCTAGAGCTGTTAAATGAAGAGCTGAATGATGTTTGTAAAGTGCCCGTGGTGATAAATAGCACATAGAATTCATTACATCTAATTTCCTACCATGTACTAGCACTAGTGAAGCATACAGAAAAAAGTCGTCAAAGCACATGACAAGTGTTGTAATGGAGTTTAGTTTGGTTAGTTTTACAAGTATGGGCATGGCACGAAGTGCCTAAATCTGTGAGTGGTAGGGGGAAGGGTCAGGGAAGTGTATATTATAAGTAGTGGTTACCTGGCTGAGTCTTGGAGAAGTTAATCAGATGAATGGGAAGTGGGAGCAAAAGAAATAGCATTGGAAAAGAGAAGCAGGATCATGAAACAGTGTGGCTCCTTGTGGGAACTCCAAGGAGTTTAGGTGTGTGAAGTTGTGGTCGTTTCAGCAGGGTAATCAGATGCCAGATCTTGTACACTCTTGTACAGAGTTTTGTCTTGATCCTGTTTGTGGTGTTGGGAACCCATGGGCTTTATTCCGAAGGTAGTCTTGGGGGTTATACGTTAAATAGGCTTAGGACATCAAAAGTAAAACTGGAAGTTCTGCAATTTTTCAGGTAAGAAATGATGACAAACCATTGTAAGACATGAGAAGTGAGGATGGGACTGGATGAATCTAGGAAATACTTAGATGACAAAATAGATTAGGCTTTATAATGTATTGGATATGGTAGATGAAGAAGAGGTAAAAATCAGAATGGCTCCTAAGTTTGTAGCTGGTGATCAGGTGAATGCTGTACTAAAAGAATGGAAATTAGGGCCAAAAACAGATTTGGGAGGTGAGACCATGAGTCAAGTTTTCCACTTATCATATTTAATGTGCCTATGGGGCATCCAAAGAGTGATATCCAGTAGAGAGCTGCATACGTAAGTTAGGGGCCCAGAGTCAAGATCTTAAGTGGAAATACAGACTTGGGAGTCCGTGGTAAATGTAGGGTGGGGAAAGCATGACAGTGGGCCAGGTAATCCTAGTTTGTTTAGAGGGAGGGCTGATGTTCTCAATGAAAACCTGAGGGAAGGCCAGCATCTAACCAGTACACAAAGCAAGAGAGGTCCGCAAAGGAGACTGAGAAGAATCAGAACAGAAAGAAACTCAGAAAAGTATGTGGGCCCTGGGAGAAGAATGGCCCACAGTGAGAAATTCTGGAGAGAGTATCATAATGACTAAACAGCATTCTTTGGGTTTGCCAGTTCCAGTTACCCATTAGAAAATAAATTGTTTCTTATATAAGAAATTCCCTTCTTTTCTGAAGTATGGATACAATTTAATTATGCTTCTCTTACATTTTATTTTTATTCATTTATATTTTGACTAATGTGGTGTGTTTTTTTTTTTATTCAGCTGCAACTTCAGCTGTCAACTTTTTGAGGGTAGGGACCATGATTTATTCATCTTTAAATTGTGAATTATATTGGCACAAGGGATCACTGAAATATTTATTGAATGACTGAATAATTGATAGTTACTTGTTTAAGCATCAAAAACATAAACTTTTTATGATTTTTGCTGGAAACATTTATAAACTACATTGTTTTTCTGCCTTTTAAAGTGGAGCATACTGAACATAATGTAATCTTTCATTTGTTGGAATGACTCCACTGTATGAATATATGGGCTGTTTATCCTACACGAAAATGACTGCACTGTACATGGTGATTCAGCCTTATCTCTCCTCTTTCTTTTCCTTGATGAAGACCAGAAGGCAAGATTAGTATTTGTCAGATTTTTGAAATTCTGAGGTAATCATACTTGCATGCCAGTTATTTGTATAAAACATATATAATTTCTCAATATTTCATATGATATTCACAAATGTAGTTGAATGAGGAGAAGACAGGCAGATAGAATCAAAGTTGAGGTCAGAAGTAGTCTTTCTATGCCTCAAGTTGTGAGTGCATAGACAAAATTTTTAAAATACTGGTTTTTATACATTTCTAAACTTACATTGTCTACTTCTATAAGAGTTATATCTGTGAGTTTTAAGTAAGATAATAGGTAATTTCCACCTTTTTGTAAGGTGCATAATATTTCGTCATCTTTATAAAGCTGGATATCATCAGAGTTTTTAATGTACTGGTAGAACTCAATTCATTTTTTCCAAAGGAATTTAGAAACTGTAAGACAAATCTTCTATATATTATACGAATAAATATATCCATAAGGCACAAAGTAAGGTAAACATTGATCTTATGCTTATCCAGGGTTTAGTGTGAATTTGATACAATTTACAGCTTGAAAAAAGACTGAAAATAATCAAACAGTTATTGATACTTGGGCAAGTAGATTCCATGAAAGCTGTGATAGTAGTATATTTTAACTTTATATCTTAAGGCTATATCCAAATGTATAAGTCAATTGTTAAATATATGGAGCTCTTGAAAATTTGACCATTTCATGAGTTTAAAGATTCTGAATGTGAAAAAATAAAACATGTTGTCTGCTTCTTTCAGACTATTTTGGCCAAAATCAAAGTGTTATGATTACTTATATCAAGAAGCAGAAGCTCTTCTGAAAAATTTTCCAATTCAAGCCACAATTTCATTTTACGAAGATTCTGATAGTGAAGATGAAATTGAGGAGCTGACCTGTGAAAATTAATCTGATTAGCTACTTTTGATTATATCCAGAGCTTTTAGGGTTTAAATTTAGTGTACAAATGTATCATAATTATTTTAAGCTAATTTATTTGTATATAAATTATTAATAAAGTGAAATATTTTATAATTAATCTGGTATTTTGCCTTTTTTTATCCCTACACTAGAATTGAATGTTGGAATCTAAAATAGGTGCCATCTACAAATGTCTTGATTGCATTATAAATATTTGGCGCTTACAAAGAATAAATTTTTCTCTTCATTAAATTGCAAATTTATATTTAGTTATAATTTTGCAAAGAATGACAGTATTTAATTCTCAAGACTGAATTTTTTAACATCTGCTATTTCCTACTGATGCCAGTTGGATGTTGTAGCTACAGATTAGTATTATCTTATTAGATAATGAAGAAAATAGCCTTATGTTAGAAATCACTCATTTATTAGTAAAGATTTTTTAGCAGGTGGAAAAAACACATTAAATCATTATCTGTAATTGAAAAGGGGAATCAATCTTAGGGCTCTTAAATTATAGATATTTTACATAAATGATGAGCAAAGTAACTCTTATGTTAATACTCCTTTTCAGTCCTTAAATCCAGTAGTAAAATAGTATTGATGTTTAATACTTAATGTACTACATCGAGGGATCCCTAGAATTAAAACAAAATGTTTAAATTTGAGTGATTGATATGGAGTCTAAAAAAGTGGAGTCTAAAGGCCAGAAGTTGATAGTATCTTCCATTTCTGTAGGGGAGATAAGAAATTTGGAAAGTATGGAACATTCTTCAACAATATTAACTTATCCTTGTTCTGGTTCTCTGCTTTTGTTATTCTTGTGCAAAAGTTTTCTCATGAGAAGTGAAATAAGTCTCAGTGATTAGTTTTTCTTATGTAGACTCTAGAAGAATATGTCATCATTTAATGAGAGAGAGAGAACACTGCAGCAGTTTGCAAGGTCAAAGTAATACAGTTAATTATAGCCATGAGGTTCTTTTAGCTCAAATTCAGTCTTCTTGTAATAAGCATTTCAATTGCAAATAAAAATGGATAGAGGTGAATGTCATAGGTGGCTAACGAGCTAAGAAATGCCTCTTATTTGAATGGCTACATATAGTCACACACTTTTTCTTCTGATTTAAAAGATTCTACAAACATAACCTTGATTTTTAGTCACTTTAAGAACTAAGTAGTTAAACAGAGAAAGTTTAAAGCATGACAATATGTTCAGAGTTAGGAAAAGTTAGTAATTAAAGGAGGATGGGGAGGATTATTTAGAACTATGTTTCTTCTGAAAACTTTCTCCCTTATTGGATTCTACTCTCAAGATCTATGTGCTTCCCAAGGGACACACAAAGCAAACAAACAAACAAACAAACAGAAAAATCAGATTTTGAGCATTAGAGCCTGGTGTTTACCTACAGTGTTTGTCCTTTTCCCATTAATATGTTGGAATAGTACGAACAGCCACTGCCACTTATTCAGTACCTAATATTAACCAGGCACTGCAGTATGTAGTTTACATGTGACCCTTTAATCTTTAATAAACTCATTAAGCAGATGGGGAAAATGAGACTTTGAGATACTAAAGTAACTTTTATAAGACAGTTCAGTCATTAAGTGCAGAGATGGCATCCAAACCAAATCTGACTTTTAAACGTTACTTCATCACCACAGCTGGAGGTGAGCTGCATCAGTACACAACTCCCAGGGAAGACAGGAAGTCACATAAGGAGGGAGAATTTGTGACTGGGTGAATAGAGCATAAGGAGACTTTACTAATGTCTTTCGCGCATTCATCAGTCCTTAGCATGCTTAAAGTTGAGGTTTAAGGATGCTTAAAGGTGAGGTTTTCTTCTTACCCCACAGTAGTGGCTATTGACATTTGATATTTTTGCTCTTAAAGGTGTGAGGTGCTTTTTCCAGTACAGTCTAGTGCCTTACAGGAAAGAATTTCAGAGAAACTAAAATGCGTTTTTATCCATATTTCAAATAGTGTATTTTATTCCATATTTCAAGTAGTGCGATGGTACTGCTTAACAATGAACACACATTGCTGTTCCGGGTTAGCAGGATTAAGAATTTGTTCCCAGATTCGGTCAGCACCAAGGCTAAGGAACAGCTTCACTCTCTAATCTTTCCACGAAATAGCTGTCACCTTGCTCCGGTGCTGAAGTGCGGGACGCGGAACTAACTGAGCATGCGTACTTCCTCCCTGCCGGCCCTCCCTCCGCCCCGTTGGCTCCGCCCTCCGCGGACGTGCTGCGTCATAGCGCGTCTCACCCCTGGCGACCCCGGAAGTGGGTCGGGGGCTTGGCCTCTGCCCGGCCACAGAGCCGGAGCTGGAGGTACTGTCCCGTCCGGCGGCGAACCCCGGGCAGGGCGCGGGGCTGGAGTTTCAAGATGCTGAACGTCCCTTCCCAGTCTTTCCCGGCCCCCAGGTCGCAGCAGCGTGTAGCCTCCGGGGGGCGTAGCAAGGTAAGCGGGTGGCTCCGTGAGTCTCTCCCCTCGCTGCGTTTCGCGCTCCGGCAGTCTGTTCTCTCCTTCCGCCCCAACTCCCAGCTCATGTACATCTCTCTAAGCTGTCGTTCCCTGCTATCCTTGCCTACAACCTCTTTTTGATCCCACTCTGTGTACAGTCCCTAAACTCTCCTTATCTCCCTCCCTTTCCCCTTGTAGCCCCGCTTCTTTCTGGTCCTTTATCTCGCTCTATCTGTTCCCTTCCTCCAAGTCCTTTCCCGCGATTTCAATTTATATGACAGAGCCAGGCACTGTGCTTGCGGTATTATAGGCGCTTGGTATTAGCCTCCTTCCCTCAACCTCATCTCCTCGCTGGTCTTTTGTTCTTCACTGCCTGAAGGAGTTGTACCACATCACTCGATGTGGGTTCCCTTGCAGGAGGGAAAGGCTTGGCGGTGGCGATAGTGACCGTCTGTGCAAGGATGGGGGCTTGAGCTGGGGAGCTAGGTCAGGTTTACAGACACTGTCCAAGTCATACTGCCTTTCTTTCTTCCCCTGGTACCTGATTGTTTTATCATTGCCTTTTCTACTGTTATCACTTGCTAACTTTGAAGCAAATATAATACTCTTGAGTTTTTGTTGAGCACAGTTGCTGTTAGCAACAGGTGGAATACTGTGCAGATATATTCTGCATTTGCAAAATTCAATAAAAATTGTGTTCTTTGTTCTTTTGCGAATGTTGTTTGTTCCTGTTTATGTGTTAGTTCCTCATTCTGTAACCATATCTTTATCTTTTGTTTGTGACACTTCCACCTACTTGGGCCACTCGGTTAACTCTTGAGTCTTAGCATCATTTGGAACCCTTGTCGATTTTCTTATTTTTCTCCACTTAGACTTGGCGTTCTGATTCTAGTTTAGAATGAATATAGGTTCAGGGATCTGTAGTTTTCATTAGCTTTCCAGAGATTTCTTAAGTACTTTTTATAGGTGGCCATGTATATTTTTAGTGCTTTACATGTATTAACTTTAATCTTCACAATTATCCTGTGAAGTGAAAGCTTTTATTGTCTCTATTTCACAGAAAAGGAAACTGGCTAAGAAATGTTGCCTTAAATTGCTTAGGCTTGTGTTGTGGTTCTGCTGTGAAATTTCATTACTGATTCATATGTCAATCATCTAGCCATCCAGGCATGTATATTTTTCTCACTGGTTTTTGACCTGTTTCTTGAAGCTAAATACTTGATTGAATAACATAGTCTTTCCAGAGAGAATCTCTGAATTAGAATATGAGTTGCTGCCCTTCTTCGTTAAAAATACCAACTATGTTCTTAGCATCCATTTAAAGGAGAAAACTTAGAAGCAAACCAAAAAGTCACACAGATGGCAATGGCAAAGGTGAGTCTTTGGTCCAAAAAGAGAGCACAATAAGATTATTGTGCAATTCTAAGGAAAACTCAGACTCCACTCTTTTTCCTCTTTTCTTTGTGAAACAAGATGATGCTGAGAATGTAAAAAACTGAGTCAGGTTTGGATGAAATGGGTAGAAGTTGAGAAAATAGAACCTAGTTGGGAAGGTTGGGAACATGCAGCAGGTTCTCAAATAATGTTGTTTCATTCAACAGCATTAAGTTATAATATCGATGAGAAAAAAAAAATTCGTTTCACCCGGGGCCACTGTCTTTGGCACATTCTAACTGTGTCTGCATAGGTTTTCTCTGGGTACTCTAGTTTCCTACTACAACCCAAAGATATGCAGGTTAGGTTAATTGATGTATCTAAACGGTCCCAGTCTGTGTGAATGTTGGGTGTGTATGAGTGTGCCTTGCCGTAGGATGGCATCCTGTCCAGGGTCGATTCCTGCCTTGCGCCCTGAGCTACTGGGATAGGCTCTGACTACCTGTGACATTGAACTGGAATAGTTGGGTAAATAATTATCTTATTGTTTTTTAATTAATCTTTCTTAAATGTATATATAGCTAACATTTCTTTCAGTGTTTAATATTAGAAGTATTTTGGTCTTTATTTAGAAGTCTGGTGATGTTTTTGTGACCAGAAATATGCTGCAGGAACTTTTGTTTATGTCAGTTAACCCACGGTAAAATTAGTTTCGTTGTACATGATTTAGTTTCCAAGCACCTGTTGACTAGCTTGAGTGAGGACTTACTGTAATTTTTTAAAGGCACAGATTTTGAAGTGAGAAAGACCTAGATTCTTTCACCATATCTGCCAGTTAATCTCTTTGAGTCTGTTTTCTCAGATGTAAATGAGAATAACAGTACTCATATTATAGGATTGTTCATAGGATTCAATGAGGTAATGTTTCTCTTAGCACAGCCTTGGTAAGCACTCAGTAAATGCCACTTGTCCTGAGGCTTTTATTTAGATCTCACAGACTTGAGTGTGACACAGAATATGCACTCAACATATGATAGTGATTATTTCTATTAATACTACTGAACAAATACTCATTGAGAACCTACTATATGCTGGAGTTTGTGGTCTCTGATTTCACGGTGTTTAGTCTCATAGGTTGCACGAAATAGTAAACATTCAGTTATAATGTCATAAGTACTACAATAGGGTGTTATGACCACAAAGGAGTTGAGGATCAGAGAAGCCTTCCAGAGGAATTAATGGGAGTTGGGGTGAGGTTGATCCCTGCAGAGGAAGCAACACTACCATAAGCAAGTACTTGACAGCAATCATGGAGTCAAATAATCAGTTCCCATTTGGCCAAGTATATAATGGAGAAGAGCAAAAGTTAGAACGTGGAGCTAGTGCAGTCAACTGTGACCAGATTGTGAAGACCTGGTAAATCCCTAGGGAATTATTATAAGGTAACCTGAGGAGCCACTGAGGGAGGGAGAACCTTTGATTAGATTTGCATTTCGGAAAGCTTGCTTTAACTATCCTGTGGATTATGGAATAGAGAGAGGTGAGTGATTTTCGTTTGGGATGGGAAAGGTCATTTTCTCACACTTCATTTATTGGGATCAAATGACCTAGAGTTTCAGTGATAGCCAGAATGGAATGATGTAGATTGATAGGATGGAATGTGAAAGGCACCACAGACCCGTTAACTTGGTTAGTTTGGGAGTAAATGGATATCTAAAATAGGTGTGATTCAGATAAGTGAAATATGTAAACGTCCTTGAATGTGTCTGCTTTTACATTAAACATTCTTCTGTTACTACATTACAAATTAGTCAGACAAGCTTAGTTCCATAGAGATATCTTGAAAATGTTCTGGTCAAAGTACTAATAATACTTCTCATCTGAAAACATTGAAACTATGTGTTTTATAAAACAAAATAAAAACCCAAACCATCCTGTTATTAAGTTCCCTGGGCAAGGGGCCTCATAAGGTTTCAGGCTCTTTACCATCACATGCAAAGACAATTCTTTGCTCAAGGGCTGTATAGAAACAGGTGCAGGCCATAGTTTGCCACCCCTTCCCTACAGTGTTGTTTTCCATTATTTGATAAACTTTGTTACTCAATGGATTCTTAGATAAGATTGCTATCTAATGATTTCTAAAAGTCTGTTTATATTGACAGTTCAGAAAATCAACTATAGTTAATTGTTTCTTTACCTTTTCTTCTGTCCAATCTCTTGATTTTTAAGGTGAAGAAATTTTGGTCCAAACTGGTGACTGTAACATATTAATGTCAGAGCCAGGACCAGAACCTGTTTTCTGGTTTCTGGTTCAATATCATTCTTGTTATATGGTCAGCCCTGTGTAGCCCTGTTTTCTGACTCCAAGGATTGAACCAACTGTGGATCAAAAATATTTGGGAAAAAAAAAGTTAAAAAGAACAATACAACAATAAAAAAAAAGGACTTATAAAATAATATAATACAACAGCCATTTACATAGCATTTACTTTGCTTTAGGTATTATTAGTAATCTAGAGATTATTTAAAGTATATGGGAGGATGTTCATAGTTATATGTCAGTACTTTGACATTTTATATGAGACACTTGAGCATCTGGATTTTGATATAGGGTAGGGGGAAGTCCTGGGACCAGTCCCCCGTGGATACTGATGGACTGCTGTACTGTGATATCAATATGGTGAAAATTTGTGTGATAGAATTTCTAAGCCCTACCTTTTATAATTCAAATACAGCATAAACAATATTGACAGCCTCTTAAAGCTGTAAAAGGATTTATAGAATTGTTAGATTTGAGTTTTATTATCTTTTAAAATGGAATTAAAAGTAATGAAGAAGCTAGATTTAATTCTTTCTTTTTCCATTTTTAGGTACCTTTAAAACAGGGCAGAAGCCTTATGGATTGGATTCGCCTGACCAAAAGTGGAAAGGATCTAACAGGATTAAAAGGCAGGTTAATTGAAGTAACTGAAGAAGAACTTAAGAAACACAACAAAAAAGATGATTGTTGGATATGCATAAGAGGTAGGTGGTATTTATTAAGTCCTTCAAAAAATGTTGACTGAACTTTCCAATTATGATGCTGTATAACCTCATAGTCATGTTATTTTAAACAATTGACAATTATTTAACAAAAATATGTCCTGTGCTTGACAATAATTTATATAATTCTGACTTTGGATAGTATTTCTTCCTTAAGTAACCATTATATTCTGATGCAGAAAACAGTGAACTTCTGATATGAAAAAGTTTTTCTTGCTTCCTTGTACTGCATTTCCTTTGAAAGGAAACAAGCATTTGCCAGGCAATATAGTACAAAATTATTTGGTAAAATCCAGTTTATGTAGCAACAATTTTCTGTCTCAGAGCCTTATAAGAGAATTCTGTTGGAAAAAAAAAAAAATCTCTGAGAATCTAAAGTAAACCTGAAAGTCTTGCATTAAAATCAGATCTTCAGTTTTCACTTGCAGCAATTTTTGTTACATAGTGTATGTTTCTTAGCAATATTAGTTACTTGATTTTGTTTAGCTCAGAGAGCATTAGAAACTCCAAATTTGATATAAATGTATTGGAGGAGGTGAGCAGACAGACAAGAGGGTAGCTGATAAAAGCTGACTTTGTAGTAGCCAACTACCTGACATCTAGTAGGGGAACAAAAATAAAAATGAAGGGCATCCAACTATACCATGAGGCTCCATACATGGTTAACTGTGTTTACCATCTTTAGAGAGGAAGGGAAATACATCATTTTTGTTCTTAGTGCAATTGTAATTTTATCACTGTGTAATTTTGGTTTGTTGTCAGTTATCCTGACTACACTATAACCTGTATGAGGGCAGGGACATTGTCGGTCTTACTGCTCTGTCACTAGTGGCTGGCACATAGAGGCCATTGACTTGTATTTGTTCAACGAGTGTAATACTTACTTTTAAGAAGTATGGTTACTTAAAGAGGTGTCTGGTGGTTTTCACAGTGGATTGGTGATATCAACAGATATCAACACCAGTAAATGCTAAATTAATTTTCTATGGATCCTGTAACAAAGGACCACAAACTAGGTGGCTTAAACAACAGAAATTTGTCTCATAGTTCTTGATGGCTAGAAGTCTGTGATCAAGGTGTCAGCAGGGTTGGTTCCTTCTGAGGACTGAGTAACAATTTGTTCCATGCCTCTCACCTAGCTTCTGGTGGTTTGCTGGCAATCTTTGGAGTTTCTTGGCTTATAGAGCATTACCCTAATATCTGACTTCATCTTCACATGACATATTCCCTATGTGCTTGTCTGTGGTCAGATTTTCTGTTTTTATATGGGCGCTAGTCCTACTCAATTAGGGACCTCCCCTACTCCAGTGTGACCTCATATAATTTTGCATCTGCAACAACCCTATATCCAAATAAGGTCATATTCTGAGCTACTGATGGTTAGGACTTCAACCTATGAATTTGGGGGGACACAGTTCAACCCATAACAGACACAATTAGAGTGTGAAATTTTCAGTGGCAAAGGGTATGGAAACTTCCAGCAGGTGATGACATAGTTTGTATTGAGACATAATAGGTGTTCAACTACCCAAAGTTCCTCAGAGACATACAAATGTGAATGGTACCAACAATCTGGAATGAGGATTCTGGCAGGTACAAAAAGATCTTTTTGACATTTTATAGGGTTTTTGCCACCCTCTTTATCCTTCCTTCCTGCTCCCTACCTGTTTACCAGCTGCAAGTAACTGGTACAAAATGACTTCCCCATTGTGCCTGAGTGTTTTCCACTAGATAGGAGGAAGTCAAGATTAGCTTCCCAAGAACACCTTTCAGCTGGCCTAGGCTGCAGGCATGCCTGAGTTCTGTTTCTGCACTAAGAAACCACTTATTCAAAAATTCAATTATGTGAACCTCTCATGTCCTAGTGATATTAGATAATTGAGGCATTATTAGAATATAGTTAGACTTTATTATTCATATGATGTATTGATGGGCACAAGGGACTGGATTGCTGTGTTTGAAAAGTAATACAGGTTGAATATCCCTTATCCAAAATGCTTGGGATCAGAAGTATTTTGAATTTGGGATTTTTTCAAATTTTGGAATATTTGCATTATATACTTACTGGTTGAGCATCCCAAATCCAAAGACTGGAAATCTAAAAGGCTCTATTGAGTGTTTCTATTAAATATGTTGGAGCTCAAAAAGTTTCAGATTTTGGAGCATTTCAGATTTTTGAATTTGGGATACTCAACCTCTACACTGCTCCCAGTTCCATATCCTCTGTAATGATTTGAACGTATAGCATTTTGTGTGATAAGGTTGTTGATTTAATCATGAATTTTTTTTATTTTTTATTTTTTTAAAGGAGATAGGATCTCGCTTTGTCCCCTAGGCTGGAGTGCAGTGGCTCCATCTTGGCTCACTGTGTCCTTGACCTCCTGGGCTCAAGTCATCCTCCTGTCTCACCCTTCTAAGTAGCTAGGATGACAAGTGTGCACCACCATGCCCAGCTATTTATTTTTTATATTTTTCTAGAGATAGGGGCTTGCTCTGTTGCCCAGGCTGGTCTTGAACTCCAGGTCTCAAGCAGTCCTCCTGCCTCAGCCTCACAAAGTGCTGGGATTGCAGGCATGAGCTGCCATACCTGGCCATGAATTTTTTAGAAGTTTCTTCTGGGGAACATGTTCTACTCTATTAACACTAAGACATTTTCCCCTCTTGGTAGAAATAAGATGTGTCTTTTTTATCTTTTTGACAGTTTGGTCTTTTATTTTATCAAGAAACACTCAGTTTAGACCTTGCTGATGGAGGAAGGATAAATGACTATTAGCAGGCAGAGTGAAGCTCCTTAAGAGGGCTACAAAGTATAAGTGATACCAGACTGTTGAAAGGGAGACACATGAGTTAGGAAAATCAGGGATGCTTTTGTGGTAGAGATAAGCCTTGAAGCAGTAGGCAGGATTTCAATAGGAAATGAGGAAGTGCACTCAGATGGAAGGAAAGGCCTGAACAAAGGAACAAAAACAGGAAAGTTTGAGGTGTTCTGGAGCTTAGGTTAATTGTTGGAGAATTATAAGAAAGAAGGCTGGAAAGGTGTGTTAGGTCAGATTGTGGACAACCTTGAAAGCCAGACTGGGAAATGTGTTCCTCATATAGATGGCAGTGTGTACTCTTGAAGGGATTTGAATGTGGGGGCAGTGTTGTAAGAGTATGCCTTGTAAAGATTAATCTGGTGGTAGGTGTGGTGAATTGAAATGGGATAAGGAAAGCATTTATTTTCTTACAGAAGTTCAGATGATAACAGGAGGTGAACCAGGATGTTGACAAAGGTCATGGAATAACAAGGTGAATGTGAGACAGACAGATTACTGGTAACTTCTAACATGATCCCAAATTAAACTAAAAATACATGTGTGAGGGAAATGGCTCTGCTTTAGTCAGGAGTAGGCCTAAGTGGCCTTTCTGCACAGCATGACTCAGCGGGTTTGGAGCGCAGGCACACAACGTCGCACATTATGTAACCATGCTGTGTGAGCTTGTGCTTGGCTCTGAGTCACTATTGTCTGTAAAAAGTATAATTGCCCTGCTTAACGCTGTACATACAGCTTGCTCGCACCCAGCGAGAGAGTAAAGCCATGTTGAAACTCTCTACGATTCCTTGCGTGTTTTTCCAGCTACCCACCACTTGCCCACTCACTCCCCTCAGACCTCAGAACCTGACAATATGACTAAACAAAGGTATCTTTTTCTTCACAGCTGTTCTAATTTAAAATATTACTGATAGCTTCTTAATGGGGGAATGTGTGTGCCAACTTTAGTCTTGAAGGTCAGAGATAGTGTTTGGACCCAAGTTTTAATCAAAACTGTGCCACAGGGAAGCATGGTATGATAGTGCCATTTTTTTTTTCCTTTTTTAAAGTACTAATTCCTTCATTTTGTGACAACTGCCCCATTTTTAGATTAGGTCTGAATTCAACTGATCACAATGTGGGAGACACAATCAGTTTCTTTAGGAAGTCTTAGAAAATACACAATTTGGTGTGGGTTTTTATGGCTAATATTATGGGGACTATTTTCTCTTTTTGAATAAGTAGCAGCATTTCTGCTTCATGTTCAAGGATGCTGAGCCTGGTCACATACCTTAAAATGATGGTATAAAAACAGCACTTGGCTGACAGTGGGATGTAAAAAATGAGCATCAGTTTGGAATGATCTCTAAGACATGTGTATCGAGTTCCTAATTTGTTCATTTAATTTTCACCATTTTCTGTAAAGTATGTAATTATTGTAAAGCAGTAGTAGTTAATTGGAATGCCGAAGAAATGGGTTGGTAGGGGAATTACTGCTTTTTAAAAAAACTTGTCGAATTTACCATTAATTCATGCTTTTATATTTTTCTCTTTTACTGTTGTTTCAAGTCCCTTTCTCAAGAACTAAAGATTTACAAACATGTAAAGTGTTGAGCAAGTGGGTAAATCACTCATCTGAGAGTTCTCCTGTCAAGCGTAGATCAGACTGTTTTTACTGTAGTATGATACATTTTATTATAGTATAGTCAGTGTTAGTAATGATGCATTAAGTAGTGAAATCATCATTTGGGCAGCATGGTTCAGCATTTTATCTTAGTGAGGATGAGGGAAGTGTGACTTGATACTCAATAACAGTCTATTTGAATAAATGGTATTTAAAAAAAGTTGACTACAGCCAAAGGACTAGTGTCTCTGTTGCTAAAAATTTAGCAGATTAGGTTCTCCAAATGGTATTTTATGGATTTCACTTATTTAGAAATGAACGTATTTTGATTTCTCCTTAAGCTGATTGTCATATACTAGTAAATTGAAGAGGCCTGCTTGATGCCACTGTGAAAGTGGCTTATAATGGGTCTGTTTTTTTTAATTTCATAACTGTTTTTTAAAACTTGTGAAGTGGATCCTAAGAAGTAGTATTTAGTCCTGTTATATTTCCATTATAGTTATTTAGATTTTTGGGTTCATGTACAACAAACCTTTTAAAATTTACTCATAGGATGGTAGTGTAAA